TGCAATTTTCTAAGTGTAATTTTTTTCTATGAGTAGTAAATACTGTATCAGTGATATTCTTTGATGGGACATTTACCCCGTAAAATCTTGCTATCAGGAAGAGGTTAAGTTTGCTTTTGTTGCGAATAATAAATACTGTATCAATGATTTTCTTTTGAAGGAAATTTACCCCATAGAACCTTGCCATCCTTTAATTGTACATAATGCTGATTTTTCACAATCTTACCAATAAATATCTTATAAAGATGCATTTTTTTTGTAAGATTTTGTCAATACCTAATTAAGGGGAAAAATCTTAAAATAGAAAAAAAAAGATTTTCTGTTTTGACCTTGTAATGCGTTTTGTCCATATTTTCTCTTAAATTAATTTGTAAAAAACATGTGCGCAAATTTAATATTCGATACTTTTATCCACGTTTATCAATTACATTGTGAATTAATAAAGTATCACTTTCTTAAAATAACTCCATTCTGTTTAGCTAATGCACTCATTCGTTGAAAAAAAGAGTTAGTGCTTTATTAGCAAGTTGTAATGGTCTTGTTATGGTATTAACAAAACCAATGTCATTAACTCTTTTTTTGTCAGGATAATACTTTTCGAATGAAAATAATATACTTTGCGTGCCTAGTAAAGTCTTAGTGCAATTTTGTTTTTCTTCGAAGTTTGTGCAGATTACAATAAACAAGGTGTAAAAATGTCTAATTATAGACACATTCCTAATGCAAAGATATGTACTCAAACGATAAAATGATTTCTTTGGTTGTAGTACGGGAATAAATGTTGCAGCTTTCCAGAAAGAAATGCATAACCCGCGTAAGCGCGTAATGCAATTTGTTTTCTGCAATGGCTGCAACGTTAATTCCCGTACTAACAAACAAAGAAAGACATTTTATTGTTTTTATTTATGTTGTTCAAATAATCAGTTAAAGTAGAATTAAGTAGATGAAATTTTGTATTATTGGTATGTACCTCATTGTATGTTTCATTGATGGAACAGCCACTACTCAAGAAACTGTAGAGGTGATATGCTTAGCGGTGTTTACTGTGCGATAAATGACATTGGTTTTCTTAAGAAATAAAGGAGATAATATTCAGTGGATGTAAATGTAGCAAAATGACTCGTATCTTTTTTTTTTTTTTTAAATGAAACATGCATCATTCAGAATATTTTCTCGTTATATTTTGCGACTGCCAAAAAATCATTTTCTAAAGATCTATATATACAGCCATACTCCAAAAGATAACACAGAAAGAAACTACGCCACTCAGACAACTGATGTTGGTTCATTAAAGGGTCCAGAAAGGTGGCTGAATTGTAGATCTCTACCATACGGTTACCTTTCAATAGACTTTCATTTACCTAGCAATTAACTAAATGGCATAGTTCAATCTAATAAAAAGTTTGACAATGAGCACACGGCGGGTGTGACCGGTCAGCAGGAGAAGCTCACTCCTCCATGGCACCTTATTTCACCTCTGATGTCTTAGAGGTCCGTGTTTGCTTTGCAATTATTTTGTAATATTTAGTGGATTTTTAGTGGACTTTTGAGCTCGAATACTATTCGTTATCTCCACTTATTTCATCATAAAATTACTTAATTATCTGTCCTTGACATATGTTTCGTGTCATTGACAGTATCTTGTACATGAAAGATTCCTCTAGGTTCCCTTCCACATCAGCGAGCTAACCTTACCACGCCACCTGGATTTTCCATAAAATGTTCGTCACTTCCGGGGCGGGAATGCATGCATTAGCAGAGATCTTCGTACCGAAGTTCACGATCCTCGGGGTTTATGAAGGACTTATTCACACTGTAGACCGGATGGATGATTTTTACTCATGGCTGGTAAAATTATATGAGGAATCATCCAAAATCAAGTACAATACCTTATCCACACACAGGACATTCTATATTATACTCCGATATACAATGTTTGAAAAAAGAACGTTTTAAAGGAGAACACCTTAAAGTTTGAGATCATAAAGTTAAAATTACTACAACAGAATCATTATTGAAGTTTAATCTATAATAAATCATTTGTATCGAAGATTCTAATGTTTTGATCCATATGATGATTTGTTAAAGAAAAGTCAGTACAATATATGAATGTTGAACTTATGTTAAAATTATCAGTTAAAAAAAGTAATTTTTGAGAATTCTCAAAAATTAAATTCATTTCTCATATTTACACTATTTTCTAATGACTTACCACAAATTTTTGTCATTCAACGATCATTTCTGGAAGAAAAAAATTGCACTATATTTTTTTATTTCAATTACTTCACAATGGAAATATTCTAACTCATCCCACGGTAGTTCATGAGAATAGGAACTTTTTCTAATTTGCAAAGTATCTTAAGGAAAAAAATTTGGAAATGAAAATAATTTAGATGTTAACGTTCTGAAAGTTTAAATAGTGTTAAATTCAATCGCATCTTCTCGAGCCTTTCCTGCAAGCTCGAAAAGGCACCTTAAATGTTCATGTATTTCATCATCGTATGTAAATATTTTATACACAATGGAGTCCCTTCTGATTTAAGATTTTTTTAATGGTAGATAAACAGGGGACCGATGGTACTTATAACATAGATGCAGTAGTAACTGGTTACGATTTGTGAACTCTCCCGCCAAATATCAGCAAGAAAATGTCATCCCTATAACGTGCGAGGGCATCATCATCTGCTTATGCTTACATGTATCAGAAAATTGTACTTTTTACCTAGGTCGCAAATGGGATACTTTCCCTTTGAACATCTGTTGGTTTTCGATACATAAGTTCAATTTTATCGATTTATAAGTTTATAAGGATATGGGTGTAGAACAGCAAACAAATTATATAAATGGAGTTTAGAACGTTTATATTTTATGACACAGATATCGGTATTTCGATAATGATAGTATTTTCTTTCCTTTTTTCTGCAGAAATTGATCTCAATGGCTCTTTTGCATTCCGTGCCAATGTTTTGACATTTGACGACAATGAAAGACTAATTTTTGATAAAAATGTAGACAGAATGTACAACGTGGCGTCTCGTTATCTTTGCACTTCTTCATGGAAACTTACACTTAGATATCTTCTTTTCAAAGAAAAAAAAAACTTAACACCAAGTGTTATTATTAATTTTATGGAACCGTAATCGAAGACTCGGGGACATATATTTTTTTGCTCTGACCGTCGGTCTGTCAGGCTGTATGTCTGTTGGTCAGTTTATCTGTTTGTCTGTTAGTCCGTAAAAATTTTAACCTTACCCATAACTTTTGATTCGTTTGAGGTATGGCTTTTATTTCTTTCAGGTGAATTCCGTGTGAAAAGACCTTTCCTAGGGTAAATATATATATATATATATATATATATATGTTTGACATTTTGACCTTGATCTTGGAGTTTTACTACTTAAAAAAAATAACCTTGGACATATATATTGAACAGTTAAATCAGGTAATTGTATGCTCAAAATGTTCATTTCTTTTGACAAGACATTCTCTTGGGTACCAACAATATGGACCCTTTGACCCTGACCTTATGAGTTTTACCTACATTTGAAAAATTTTAACCTTGGCTAAACCTTTTTGAATGGTTAGTGCTAGGGCTGTAACATTACTTAGTTTCATTCTTGTTGCAAAAGCTTTCCTCGGGAACCAACAATTTTGACCTTTTGATCTTGATCTCAGAGTTTCACCTACGTTTGAAAAATCTTCATCTCGGCAATAACTTTTGAATTGTTGATTCGATGACTTTCATATTTCACCAGTGTATCTTTTGTGCTTCTTTGGATTTTATTTATTTTGACCCTTTGGTTTGACCCACTTTTGATTTTTTTTTTACTTTGGGCATAATAATTAAATAGTTGGTACTTTTATGGCTTTTGTATTTCACAGTTGTATTCATTGTGACGATGTCTTTTGGGGGGTTGGGGGTTCGGGGTGGGGGTATCAAGAATTATGATCTCTTGACCTCGACCTTGGAGTTTGACTTGCAAATGACAACCTTCACTATAAGCTGCCATTCGGGGGCATCAGTGTTTCAAAAGCACATCTTTCTTTTTTTTTTTTAAATATCATTTTCTATTTATTTATTTATTTTTTTTATTTTTTTTTTGGCTTTATTGGACTACAAGTACCAAATTGTAGTCTTTATTTATTTATTTATTTATTATTATTATTATTATTATTATTATTATTATTTTTTTTTTTTGGAAATATTTATCATAGGCCATACACCGCATAACAGAGATTGACTTGTCTTAACACAGATATCTCTTTGTGCTTCTCCCGAAAAAAAAATGACAGTGTCAATCTAAGTCTTCGATGACGGATATTATACATACACAAGAGGTGAAATTAATTTTTTTTAAATGATTGTTTGTAGCAATAAGTGATCTTAATCTTTAGAAAACATGATAACTTGACCTTTTACTTGACGTACTTACAAGAAATTTGTAGGAACTGTCAGGTGCACGAAAAAAGCAACATTGTGTTTCTTGGGACACGTACAAATTTAAGGCATATAAATATTTTAATGGTGCAAATTTAATTTGTGGAAGGGTATTTCAGGTAACAGTGACGTTAAATATTAATCTTAATTTTTTTCTGCAAAATTATAAATAACAAGAGCTTGCATCAAAACAAATATTGCTAAGTGTATTAATGAATTATATTTGCCCATCCTTTCAAAATACTGCACGGAGGGCACAAGATGGGGGATCTCTCTTTAGAGAAACTTAGTCTTGGAGATATTGTACTACAAAATATGAACATCAAATGCACCTGATTATGTTATAAAATATCTTTAATACAATGAAACCTGTTTTATCCAACATACACTGGGAGAAAAATAAACATTATGTAGGTTTTCACAGTGTAAAGATCATGGAAATTAGTAGAAATGAGAATGAAATTTAATGTCGGAATTCACAGATTGTACAGGTGTCGGAGAAAACAGTTTCCACTGTAATACGTTTAACATAGACCAATCTTTATCCTAACTATCCGTCCAGGCATCTTCATGTGGCAGTGGTCGTAAATAAGAACGGAATATTTCTAATTTTCAATTTATTACAACATATATTATGCACAGATTTAACTGGGTACATTCGGTAAGGAAAATTAATAAAACTTTATTGCTTCAGCAAATAGTTCAACCACAAAACCCCCTCAAAATACAATCCTTTACAAGTTTTCTCTCCTAATATATATCATTATTAAAAAAAAAGAATGAATAGAATCCCATTATAAATTTAAAATAGGATCTTTTATCAGAAATGTTTTCTCTGACTGATTGGTGACCGTCGTCAATTTGAGGCCTGATCTCTCAATTTTGAATGTTCATCTGTTGAGAAAAAATTAAAAGTATCAAAAATGTTTAAGAAAAATAAAAGAGTATATTTTATAAAAAAAAAATAAAATAATTAAATAATGTTTTATAATAAAAAAAAAAATAATTAAATAATGTTTAAGGCAAATAAAAGGGCATGTTTTATATCTCGTACAAATTTTCTAATAACCGTTTAAAATGTTCAAGGAAATACCAAATATTAAAAACGGGTTTTTAAGATTCAGTGTTGTTTACCTAGTGACGTTTGATTAACATCATGGTCTCCCTTATAGCTGATCCACTCTCTACTGTAGGCCACCAAGGATTGTGCCATTCTGCCAGCAACCATGGCCCATTAAGGAAGGCCCAGTGACAGTTGTTAAACCACCAGCCTCCTCTAACATAACTGAGAGCAGCACAGTTACATTCACATCTGTCGTTATCTCTGTCTGGTGTACTGAAGTACATCTCTGACAGATCAGCGCCAGAATTTCCTGTGTTTAACATGCTGTCACCTGTAAAATAAGAAAAATAACTTATATTCAAAGCTTAATTCATTTCAAGGCATTTCATTGTCAATATCTTAAATGATTAAAATAAATTATACAAACCCAACACAAGATTTCAAATAAGTTACATGAACTTTGAAATAATTTAAATAGACTTTTTTTACATAACAAAGGATGTCAAACAAGTTACAAGGACTCTGAAATGATTAAGATGAATTGTGCACACCTAGCACAGGATTCAAATAAATTACATAAACTTTCTAATAGCTTTATATCACATGTTATGTAGATTGATATTACTAATAAGGTGTATTCCCATTATTTGTTAAAAATATTTCTTAAAATTTAACGAATTTTACTCGACTCAAAACAATATTCCCCTACCTTGAGTCAAAGAGCCAACAAATAGGAATACTTCAAAATGACGTACACAATAACATTTCATCCTTTCTATTGTTGCTTATCTTTTGCTATATCTATTACTTATTTCTATAACATATCCACATAATCATATCCCATTCTCTGATAGTAGCTTATTGAGCCTAGTGACACCAAATAGAGAAAAGGTAATGTAAAAGCAATGGTTTTATGGTGAAGAATGTGAGACATACAAAATATATTGGCTGATAAAAATCTTTAAAACAACTGGTAATTATTTATTCAAAAACAATATCTGTAGCATGAAATATGTAAAATTATTGTTTTTTTTTTCAAAGTAATATGTGGTTTTCTCAGACCATATTTCCATTTATACCTAGTATTGTAGCTTCACGGAAAAATTGAAAGGTGTGACCATTATTTATAAATAACGTACTCTGAAAATACTTTGACGTTATCTAAAAAAAAGAATCATTCTTATAAAAGGGGGGGGGGTATTTTCAAGGAAAAGAAACAGAAGACACATACTTTTGCTGATGGAAGACATGACATTACATTAAAATTGCCATAGCCCCCCTTTTTTTACATAAAACTTCTCATTTCTTTTCGAATTCTCTCCCTCTCCTTTTCCCTCTGTCTCTCCTTCTCTCACTCTCTATCTCTCTCACTTTCTTTGTATTGTCACACATTTTTCCTATTACTAACCTAAGCTTCCGGTAGCTGGCCCTCCAAGAAAAAGTTTGTAGTTGTCCGTTTCATCAGAAATGGAAAACTGGTGATATAGTTCATACAAAGTTTGACCATTTCTTAATGTAATAGAGACGTAGAGAGATGAGTTGCTTCCCTTGGTAAGCTGGTGTATGACGTCATTCCCTTCAATACGTTAATATAAGAGTGTATTAGTTATTGAAAAAAATTAAATACGTGACATGGTAAACAAAGTAAATAGTCATACAAATTTAACAAGATATTAATTGCAGAAAGTGTATTTGCAAAAAATCCCATTCCTTAAAATAAACACAGATGCAAATAAGTAGATATTTTTTAAATATAAACAGAAGTAAAAAAGCATTTACCTATCCAGTGGGAGTCTTTAGGGGTTCCAAACCCATTTTTGTATTCCTTCCACGTTTTGTAAAAACTCTCGGATCCACTCACCCGTTTCTGGATTGCCTACAGGTTATCAACAGAAAATAAATATCTTGAAGTCTGACGATCTTTTTTTTTTGTTTTGTTTTACTCGTAATTTCAGAGAGAGAGAGAGATCGAGAGAGAGAGATCTTACTGTCCATCCTCCGCCTTCAGTTTCCATATCACAGTACAAGCTGACCTGGGTCTCGTTATTGAAGGGATGTATTTCATAAACACCAGACTGTGTCTGTCCTTGTAGATAATGGTCCTTACAATCCTTTATTTTTGAACCTTAAAAAAATGACACATAATATAAATACATACATACACACAGACACATATACAGAGAGAGAGAGAGAGAGAGAGAGAGAGAGAGAGAGAGAGGAATACCTTTCTTCACGGTTTGCGATGTTTCTATTAAACTTCTGCTCAGTTTCTTGAATCTTGTTCACGCAATTCAGTGCAATCTTCTTGTTTTCTCTTCTTTGTTCCCGACTCAAAGAATTCACCTGTGTTGTCAATGTTTCTACACTCTGCTGTAAAGCGTTACTCTTATTTATTTCAACCTGTCTTTCCAAAATTTCTATTTTCTCTGCTAAAACTTTGTTCTCTCTTCTAAGAGTATCAACTTGTCTTTTTAATATTTCTGCTTTCTGCGCTACGGTCTTGTCCTGCCTGAGAGAATCAACCTGCCTTTCAATGTATTTAACGCCTGCTGTAGAGAGGAGGACATCGTTTCTGTAGACGCCATGTTTCGCCTCAAAAAACTAACGTCGTCCACTACTGTCTTTAAATCCTTGACCACGGCTAAACGGATGAGAGTTTCCTGGTTGATGATCTGTCGAAGAACGTCGATTTCTTGATGTCACGTCTTTCATTGATCAAAGCCGTAGAGTTCGGATCATACGTACCGGTTAACAAGGACCCCGTTCTGACTTGTGGTATTGACATGAAAAGCATTAAAGGAATGGAAAACATCATTCTTTTATTTTTGAGGTGAATTTACCAGAACAGAACAATGTTGTGTCTCAGTCAGAAATTTTATACGGTATATATAGAGTCGGTTGGGGATTTCCCCAATCAGAAGATGTCATACGGTGTATAAAGAGTTGTTTCTGGATTTCTCAGAATTAGAGGGATGAAAAAACAAGAACGTGATGAAGTATAACAGGAATCACTTACACTGTGACAAAAGATAACATAATTATCTCACAGAAATATTTCTGATTATGTCATTAAGGTGTTTTTAGACAAAATGATAACAGAGCCAGAATTACTCTGGCAATTGAACCACTTTGCCGTCCTCTGTAGATAATAGAAGCAAAGGAATTTTTTACGACCACATGCTTATTATTTACTTCCCACAAAGAAATGTAATTTATTTCTGGAAAATAGTAAGAGAGAACATCAGAAACTGAAACCAATACATATAGCAATTTCTGCTATTTTATCTATAACAACAAGGATTGTGAGTTTCTATTGCTAACTTGACCCTCCTATGCATATCCTGCCCGTTCTATTTCTAATATATCACCTGATTAGAGTTTTTTTTTTAATGGGGGGAGGGGGTAAATGAATATGGATATGAAATGATAATTTTGACAATAAATTTGAAATCTATATCTAATTATTGAAAGTTACATTTTTTAACTCAAACTGAAAGTTCTTACCTTACCCTTGAAAAATCAATGAATTTAATGAGCATGCCAGGTTATGTTTTCCAACTGAACACATAAAGTAAACAACAAAATTTGACAAATATGATAATAATTTTAAACGGTATTTGAGGATTTGCTTATTTTTCTTACCAGTGTCGTTTGTTCATGTTCGATCTAAAATTAATGTATCCTATAAATCAGATATTTCTATCACTTTTCTATAATAATTATTGCACACATAATGAATCAAAATATTCTCTATCTTTGTTTTTGATTATCACAAAATTCATACGTATTTTTAAAGATATTAAATAAATGCACGAAGAATTTTTTTTTAATTTGAGTAAGAAAGAAATTAAAGTGCTTGCTTTAAAGACAGATGATACGAATAAAAAATGGATGCCTGGATTGGTACATATTTTTTTTTTTTACCAATTTTGGTTGTAAATGATTAGAATAATTAATTTCTAAAATATTAAGAAGTTCTTAACTTTCTATGATGTTCAAAATTTCACCTTTCTCCAACCATCCTTATTAATCTAAACAACTTTTTGTCGCCTAAAATCCAAATATTGTGAAACTTTGTATGAAATATAAAAATCTATGCGGTTAAACTTATTCATTTTACTTATATAAACATGACTTTAGTAATTATTTTCAGAATCTTCGATAAAAGTTTGTTTGTATCATCTGTCCTTAATATGATACGTACAATATTTCATCATACATTAGATGTAATTCAGAACACATTATAACACTGAACGTTTTGGAAAGATTTTACTTATTAGATGGCACAGTTATTTCTCTAGTGTGGACATTTCAAATAAGTAAAATACTGTTGCTCTCGCTTATTTTTGAAAATGACGCAGCACTGTTAAAGCAGGTTTTGAAGAAATCAGCGGAATATAGAAGGGCATTAAAAGATACATTTCAAACTGATTTTTTTGGCAAAGCTAATATTATATTACATAAATTTCATTCTATTTGTAAGGACATAGTTAAATTCCATTCTGTAGTAAATTTAGCTTGGTCACCTAATTTGACGGTCACGAGAGAAACGCACATAATGTGTACTGCATGGAGGTCATAAATAAATATCAATATCGCAAAGTCATACCCTCATTCAAAGTCAAATTTCAATTCATAAATTGTTTCTATACATCTTGTGCTTTCTATAAAAAGCTGCTTTATCTAGAATTTGCATTTTATTACTTAAGGTATGTCACTCGTGAAATTAGTTATATCAAGGATTTTTTGAGAAATATACTTTAGAAAAGTACTCAAATAGCACTACTCAAAATCGCAAAGAAAATGGGGGTCCATGTGCATCTTAATGATCTACGGTTCAATTAAGTTGACCTTTTTTATTTAAATTGTAACTCTTTGGTTAATCACTTTAATCTTTATCATATTTTATCAGATGTAATTATGGCATTAAATATAATCTTATTTTACGTAAAATAGTTTGAATAATATTTATCATTGAGCAAATCATGCAAACTATTACACATTATTATTTTATATATGTTCATTAAGTAATGATATCAATTTCACGCAAGCAGCAGCAGATTTCAGGTTAAGGAACACTTCTATCTATATTTAAATATTGGTCAAGATCTATTTAGTTTATGCCCTTGCACTAGAGCGATTTATTGAGGCTTCTTGATGTTCAACATGCATTTCCTTTACACAAAACAGGGGATAATAAATTCAATACAGTTTGTCGATAAAAATTTAATAATGGTATTTAATAAATGTTACACAAACGAAAAAGGAACTAATGCTTTATACCTATAATATTACCAGCCTGACGTCATGTCGACAAGTGCATTGCGAACAGTGACCTGTTTTTATCTTGCTGTGTTGAATTTAATTAGCCAGATAAATTGCGGTGGTAAGTTTTGATGTAGATTCATACTCCTATACAGTTCAAACAAGCAGATAATTACATTTTATGATATTATTATTTTTGCATGATGTCACAGTAAGCATTTTCTGTATAAATTAGTCCACGCCTCCTTTATGTAGTCTTAATGCTGAATGAATATAATATACTATCGTTAGTAGATTTCATACAACTTCTTTCAAATGCCATAAATTGTTAAAACTCTTGAAGTGTTTTACAAATATAAATGCAGGTCATATCAAGGGTTATATCATAAAAAATTATGGTGCAATTCATCTTTTATTATGAAAAATATTTTTTTTGGCCCACATAATATTCCAGGATACAGAATAATTTGCTTTTCAACCCCGTTGTAAGCTTTTTGCACGTGAAAGGTGTTTAGACCAAGAAGAATCAGTTCTACAATCCCCTGGTCTTGACCAGATTGACCCAAGTTATTTATGTTATATAGTCCATTACTTCTCGAAATGACGCTTCAGTTTGAATGTACTCTTCCAGTGATTAACACCTTTCCTGTTTATTGCGCATCACAGGTTATGGAAAGTGATCCTGTTACCCATCCTGTAAAATTAAGACAACCAGACACAATCAAGCTGACCACTCTTTATTATACCCCCGCTCTAATTAATTATAAATACTAAAGATACACAAATCAGTGTAATAACTATTATTATTGACATTACTATTACAGTATAAAATAGCTTGTAAATAAACTGAGCCATCTGAAAATGTTACGCAATTTACAAAAATCGCCCAAGTTTACTTATATATCTTACCTGTATGAATGTAACCAGAAAGAAGCACAATCCAGCTATAACCATTTGTTGGCTGTCTCTATCTGAGCCACATTTATATCTGTACTTACCCTAACATATTTATATTTTTCCGTCCTCAAACACTCTTTACTTTTTTAATTGCATTTTAAAATTTCATAGTGAACCTTTTGCATATTTTTATTTACATTTTATTCAGTGAAGATAATTTATACAAATGCATGACCTCTGGTCTCTCGCATCAATTTCTTTGATTTGTTAATCCCTCGTTTCCTGAGCAAACCAGTATCTTATCAAGAAGTTCTCAATCTACAAACAAATAGAAAACACCATCAAACTTACTATTAGCAGTGAGAATCCTACACTCATGCCAAGCATCTGTTTTCTTCTATTTTTATCCTAAGTGATTGACTTAACAGTAATGACGATGTTATACGCTTTCCCTGAGATTCGCAAATTCCACAACTTTCTATTATTTATTTTTATGCATTTGTTATGATAAATCCCACCACTAACACCATTCTTGTCCTCAAGATTTGGTAAACATGTTTTCCTTGAGATCTTACATGATATCTCTTTATTTTCAGATGGTTTATACACACAACCAAATGTCCAACATAAAATTATACATGCACAGGAAGAAAATATGTTATACACAATACAGATTTTTACATTGTATGATATTATGAATTGATATTGCACAATGTAACTGTAAGCATTCCCTGTATGAATTATGCCACGCCTCCTTTATGTAGAATTAACGGTGCTGTGAACTGCTGAATGAATATAATATCGTTAGTAGATTTAATAAAATTTCTTTCAAATTCCATTAATAATTAAAAACCTTGCAGTATTTTACAATAATAAATGTAGGTGATATAAAAGCTTATAATAATAAATAGCTGACACGTGGAGGCCATGCACCTGCCTTCACTGCTATTAAAAGTTACTTCTTTTTTTAGTGTAGAAAGAAGAAAAGAAGCAAACACAGACCTCTAACACATTAGAGGTGGGATCAGGTGCCATAGAAGAGTGAGTACCCCAGCCGACCAGTCACACCCGCCGTGTGCTCCTGGCCATGATCGGGAAGTAACGGAAAAATCCGTCAACAATTCAATGTGTAAATAAAGGCCCAACAATTAGTATGAAAAACGTCAGTCAGCCTTTTACTTAATGATAGACTGTATTTCTTGACGAGGTCATTGTATCGACCATAGATCTTACCACGTGATGACTTTAAACGAGAACATTGATATTCTTGTTTCATCAACTTGTTTGTCAATAACTTACCTCGTTTTAGAAGTTGTTCATACATAGATCATTCTCTTGCGTATAGCATTAACTGAGAGATAGAAACCCCGTATGCAGGTGATAAGGGTATTTTGCTGCATAAGTTGAATACTAACTTGAACAATAAAAGCCGTCGCTGCGTGGCGCAGTGAGACGGATGAAGGAGTTGATACATACGTCATGGACTCGAAGAAGTTGGTTGTGAACGCCCTTGCTACTGTCCGTGTTTAAACTTGTGCATATCTTTAGATATTTTGCATCGATCAAATTTCCTTTGTCGATATCGACGATATCGTATCAATAACGAATCACTTAGAATACTCTGATTGTTCGTGGCTAAATTAAAAATAATGTACATTTGCCCTCTCCCGACTCAAGGTGAAAAAACTAGGTCGGTAGATAGGTGAGAAATTTTTTTCCTAGAAAATTTCAAAATCTATCATCCGGAATGCATAAAAAAAAATTGCTTCCTGGATATTAAAAAAAGTTTTGAGTTGGGCCATTTTTAGCCAGTCGGTCGGGAGAGGGCAACCAAACAATGATTTAAAGATGACCTGGAAAGTGTATTTTTGCACTTTATATCATTGTCTTTTTATTATAAACATGTTAAATTATATTCATTTTAAGTTTGTTCTACTGTCGATATTGTCATGATAGAGGACATTGATGTTTGCATTTTATACTCTGTTTATACTTGTAGGGTTGTTTGAATATTTCCAATTTACTTATCCTTCTGTCGATGTAGACAATATCGTATCAATATCAGAACACGATTGTCAGCAATTGCATTTTGTCTCACTTGATTCTGTTTCGTCCCTTTTCTTAGTTTATCATCCCGTTAATCGAACAGTATCTTTCTGTTGATAACTTATTATCAATATAGCTCGTGTTACATTGTTTTAGCATCTTACACTTATCAACTCAAATTCTATCATTATCCTCTACTCCGAAGTATGACAAGCCAATTTATTAACAAATTCATTTCAGTTAGGATATTTTTTTTTCGTCCTGTATGTAGTATTATTGCCTTGAAAAAGTAATGATTCCAAAAGAATTACAAAAATGCTCTTGTTCCCATCTGTAATGTTTTCAGAGGACCGTGTTTGCTCTACTCACAATGTGTATTGTTTAAGCTTGATGACAAAGCTTTATGATAAACATGATGACTTTAACTTTTTAATCGTCAACTTCCCTTACGTATGCAGCAATATACCTTTATCACCTGCATACGGGGTTTATATCTCTCCGTTGATTCGATACGCCAGAGCATGCTCTACGTATGAACAATTTCTAAAACGAGGTAAGTTATTGACAAACAAGTTGATGAAACAGGAATATCAGCAGTCTCGTTTAAAGTCATCATTTCGTAAGTTTTATGGGCGATACAATGGCCTTGTCAGCAAATACAAATTATCATTGAGTCAAATGCTGACTGACGTTTATCATACTAATTGTTAGGCCATTATTTATACACTGAATTGTCGACGAATTTTCCCGTTATTTCCGGATGATGACAAGGAGCACAGGGCGGGTGTGACCGGTCTGCAGGGGATGCTCACTCCGCAGTACAGTTAGGGTGCCAAATGGTAATATCGGCGATTTTTTTTAGATAGAAAATACATTCTTCACAAGGATGATCGTTTCTTTTTAGGACTTTACAATTATCGGACAAAAGCAATGTGGTTGAAAACTACATGTTGAGGATGATTAGATTGCTTATTTAGACTTGTCACGTGATGTAGCTGTCACGTGATTTTAGCAAATATACCTGAAGTATTGAGGTCATCTATAAATTCTAATATTGCAAGGGCATAACCAAGTTAAAAATCTATGTTTAACATATAATTATTTTCAACACTATTGTAGTTTGTGAAAAGTGCTGCGAGCCTATATAGATTCCACTATCTAATTGCTAAAATTACATTTGTTAGACCGTATGTTGAATATTTTGCTGGTCAAGTACATTATATATAGATATGATTAATTCATTTGCAAGATTTCAACAGGTTCGCAGCACTTTTCAAACATCTTCATACTTTTTGAGTTTATGTGTAAAAGCTTGTCATAATTCAATGAGGGTATGCCCTTGCAATATATCGATTTATTACGACTCTTCTATTACCCAACAATGAATCTGCATACAAATATACGACAGTATCGCTTGTCTAGGGAATGTACGGGAAGTATATGAATAAAATAATAAAATAGACATTGCATCCAAGTAAATGGCCTCTTATATATCTACAATTTATATTTTATTTAATTACAAAAAAACATTTTTCATTGCATAAATATAACTTGATCCGCCTCTCACTGCATACAAACTGCTTAAATTTTACGATATGACGTCACATTGACAAGTGCATTGCGATCGGTGAATTGTTTATATATTGCTGTGTGGGATTCAACCAACGACAATAATGCATGCACTAGTTAGTATTGATGTAGTTTAAAGCTATTCAACAGTTTAAAGTAGCAAATCATTTCATTTTTTGGTAATTTGAAGAACTTATATATTTTTGTGATGTCATAGTAAGCATTTCCCGTATAAATTAGGCCCCGCCTCCTTACTGCAGCCTTAACTGTGCTGCGTCCACCATGGCACCTGATCCCACCTCCGATGTCCTAGAGGTCCGTGTTTGTTTTGATCTTATTTTGTAATGTTTAATGGACATTTGAGCTCGAATACTGTTCGTTATCTCCACATATTTCATAAAATGGACTTTTGAGCATGATTATTGAACGTTACTTTCAAATAAAAACAAAAATAATTAAAAAAAATGAACAATGAGGATAAAGATATTGGCATTTTATACTGTACTTGATGAATGAGGTCAATCAAAATATTGTCTTTTTAAGGTTTTACAGTGTATTAATTTTCATTTCAACTATCCTTTAAGTTATCTCCATGTGAAAGAATTATTAAATAAAACAGAATATTTCTCATTCTCAGTTTATTTAAAATGCATAAATAGACAATAATAATGTTATGAAATTTCAACATTTATGTCCAGCAGGGTCCACAGAAAGACACCCATTTACAAGGATGCTTATTTTATTTAGAAACCTTTATTAAAACTAGGAATTAATAGAACATAAATATTAATGAAAATGAAGAGGACTATTTATGAATATTGTTTATCAGTAACGCGTAATAATAGTATTCTATTGAATTATTCATCCATTTCCTTTCTTCGTCAATCTGCATCTGTAGAGAAAAACAAAAACAATATAAAGAAAGATCAACAAGAAAACTTTATTTTCGACTCCTCACACCTGCGATTCCAGATTAAGAAACAAGTGTAAAATTATCAAAAACCATGAATTTTTTTAGAATGACAGATGTATACCTAGTGACGCCTGATCAACATCATGGTTTCCCTAACAGATGACGCACTCCATACTGGTGGAGCCCAAGGTCTGTACCAGCTCGCCGGGTACCACTGGCCGTTGAGGAAAGCCTGGTTACAGGCGTTAAACCACCAGCCGCCTCTGCGGTTACTACGAGCAGCACAGTTATCTCCACTAACCCTGTCGTTATCTCTGTCCAGGGTGGTAAAGTACATCCCTGACAGATTATAGTAAGAATAACCAGTATCTATCATACTGTCACCTGTAGAATTTAAAAAAAAATAATTATTTTCAAAACTTAAATCAGTTCAGGGCATTTCATTGTCAATATTTAAAATAGTTAAAATGAATTACACATACCCAACACAAGACTTTAAATAAGTAACATGAACTTTCAAATAATGTATATGATATATTATACCTATCAAAGGATGTCAAACAAGTTACAGGGACTCTGAAATAATTTTAATGAATTGTACACATCATACACAGGATTCAAATAAGTTATCAAAAACTTTGAAATAGCATTATATCACATGTCATGTAGATTGTTATTATTAAATAAGGTCAAATTTCAAAACAATATTCCCCTATCTTGAGTCAAATAGCCAACAAATAGGAATACTTAAAAATGACGTACACAATAACATTTCATCCTTTCTAATGTTGCTTGTCTTTTCCTAGATCTATTACTTATTTCTATAACATATCCACATAATCATAAGCCATACTCTGACATTAGCTTATTGAGCCTAGTGACACCAAATAGAGTTTAAATAATGAAAAATCAATGGTTTTATGAAGAAGAATGTGACATATACAAATAAATTGGCTGATAAGAATCATTAAATTACTGTAGCATGAAATGTGTAAAATAAGTTTCTTCTTTTAACGCAATAAATGATTTTCTCAGACATATTACCATTTATGTCATTTTTTGTAGCTACACGGGAAATGAGAAAGCGCTAGTTATACATTACGTACCTTGAAAATACTTTGACCTTATTAAAAAAAACAATCATTGTTATAAACGGGGGGGGGGGTATACTCAATAATAAGAGACAGAGGATACATACATTTTGCTGGTGGTTGACATGACATTGGCTTAAAATTGCCATAGCCCATTTTATTCATTAAGCATTTCCAATTTTCTTTTCTAATTATCTCCCTCTCCTTATTTTCCCTTTATCTCTCCTTCTCTCACACTCTATCTCTCTCACTTTCTTTGCATTGATAGCTATTACTTACCCAAGGTTCCGGTAGCAGGCCCACCAAGAAAAAGTTTGTACTTGTCCGTTTCATCAGACACAGAAAACTGACGATAAATTTCGTATAAAGTTGTGCCATTTGATAATGTAATAGAGACGTACAAGGATGAGTTATTTCCATTGGTAAGCTGGTGTATGATGTCATTTCCTTCAATATGTTATTGTGAGAATGTATTAGGCATTGAAAAAGTAAATATACGTGATATCGTAAATAAATTTATACAAAATTAACAAGATAAGAATTGCAAAAAGTGTATTTATTAAAAAGAATCTTACTCCTTAAAATATACGCAGACGCAAACCATAAGTAAGTAGACATTCCTTTAGATAATTTCAAATGTAAATAAGGATTTACCAATCCAGTAAGAGTCTGTTGGGGTCCCAAAACCATTTTTGTATTCCTCCCACGTTTTGTTAAAACTCACAGATCCACTCACCCGTTTCTGGATTGCCTACGAGTTATCAACAGAAAATAAATATCTTGAAGTTTGACAATCTTTTTTTATCTTTCTGTTTTCTTTTGTTTTTTCGGAATTTCCAAAAGAGAGGGGAGAGAGAGAGAGAGAGAATCTTACTGTCCACCCTCCGCCTTCTGTCACCATGTCACAGTACACGCTGACCTGGGTCTCGTTATGAAAGGGATATATTTCATAAACACCAGACTGTGTTTGTCCTTGTACATAGTGGTCCTTGCAGTCGTTTATTTTTGAACCTTAAAAAGATGACACGTAATAATAGTAATGAATGTAATAATAATAATAATAATAATAATAATAATAATAATAAATAAGAAGAACGTCGATTTCCTTGATGTCACGTCTTTTACTGATCAAAGCCGTAGAGTTCGCATCATACGTACCGGTTAATAAGGAACCCGTTCTGACTTGTGATATTGACGAAAAAAGTAGTAAAAGAACGGAAAACATCATCTTTTCAATTTTGACAGGAACTTACCCGAGCAGAACAATGTTGTGTCTCAATCAGAGATTTCATAGGGTATATATAGAGACGTTTGGGGATTTCCGCAATCAGAAGATGTTTTCCGGTGTATAAAGAGATGTTTGGGGATTTGTCAAATTAAGCAGGATGTAACATCCAGAATACTTGAATGTACCTGATTTATTAAGCAAAACAGGAATCACTTACACTGGGCCGAAAGATAACATACTTATCTCACAAATGTTTTTGGTTACATCATTAAGTTGTTTAGACGAAATGAGAAATGATAACAGAGACAGAAGTGTTATGGCAATTGAACAACTTTGCTGTTTTCTGTAGATAACATAAACAAAACACTTAAAGGTACTTGATATTTGACGTATGCCAGGAATCACTTAGAGATAACATACGTATCTCACAATATTAAACCCTTTGGGGCATGTTACCATTAAGTTTAAACAAAGAAAAAGGAGAAAAGATAGCAAAACATAATCACTATGGCAAATGAAACACTTTGCTGTTTTATGTAATGTAAACAAAGAAATTTAAACTATTACATGCTACGTATTTATTTCACACTTAAATATTTTCCGGAAAAAACTAACAAGGAATGTCAAAATCTGAAACTAGTTTAAATATGCTATTATACTTGTATCAACGAGTACTGTGAGTTTCTGTTGTTAACTTAAATCTCCTAAACATATCTTCCTTGTTTATATTTCAAATATTTTATCTGATTTGTTTGCTCGTTTGTTTGTATGTTTGTTTGTATTTGTGAAAATGAATAGGACTATGAAAAATATTGATAAATATATTCGAAATTTCCATTTATTAATTTTTGAAATTCATCTTTAATTTTGTAATTAGATGATAGCTCAAACTGAAAGTACTTACCTTAACCATGAAAAACAAACTGAACAGACTATATGGATTATAACGAGCATGCTGATAAGTATTTGTATCATTTTTTCTTCGTCAATGACACATATTACTTAATTTAAAAAAAAAAATGAAATTTGTTTGAGTAAGTAATTATGAGACAACTAGCTTATTTGCTTAAACATATGGAAAGATTTTTTGTTCAATTGCTAAAAAAAGGTTTCAAAATGATCATGGGCAGAAAATTATTCCATGTCGAAATAAAATGCAATTTAGAATTATTAAAAAAAACTCTTAAGTGGAAAACATATACATTGATAGAAAAATTTAGAATATTTTAAGCTCTGGCGTCTGTAAACCATGAAACATAGAGGAAAATGGCGGAAGGAAAAAATGAACGTAGATAAACGGTAGGAAAATTTCAATGATAAATCCTAATATGACATTTTTGGTTTTCTGACCCTGTCATGTCCTGGGAGAGAAGGAAGATATAAAAAGAATAAAGAGACGATCGCTCGAAATAGGAAAGAGAATCTCCTCTGACTCAATGATTTAAAAAATCTCTGTGATTACTCTTGGTTATATGTATTTTTATAATATAAAAAATATACGCAGAATTCGGATTAAAAAGAAATTAATACGTTTAAAAAATGGTAGGTAAAAAATATCAAATCATAATACATTTGATGTAAATCAGTACATGTAACAACACAGAATGTTTGTTTTGGTAAGCTTTTACTTATTAGATGGCACAGATGTATCCCTAGTTTGGATAATTCAAGTAAGTTGTTGGAGATTCAACGAAATTAAAATCCATGACCTGCTTTCGCTTATTTTTGAAGACGACTGCTGAATGAATATCATGCCAAATCATAAGCAGATGTTATGCAAATCTTTCAAATATTACTTGTAAAAACACTTGCAGTATTTTACGAAAAAAATGCAGGTTATACAAGAAGTCTGTGAGCAAATGTTCACTAGTAATACCCCTACTCTGAAATGAATTTGGTAAAGACAACACACAGATAAACAAGAAGTTGACATCTGATTCGTACAAATATGAATCTCACCATATGGCATGCCTAAACAAAAAAATGTGCTAAAATTTCAAACATCTGCGGCGAGTGGTTGCTGAGAAATGTGTGACAGAAATTTGGTACCGTTAGACCCACGGATAAACAGGAAGTAGACTCCGGATTCGTACAAAAATGAATCCCACCATATGGCATGCCTAAGCAAAGAATCTACGATGAGTAGTTGATGAGAAAAATGTGACAAAAATTTGTTATGAAGATACAGACAGACAGACACACACACACAGAGACAGACACACGAGTAAAACAGTATACCCCTATCCTTATTACGACGGACAAAAAACACACACAGGCACACACACAGACAGACAGAGACACAAGGGTAAAACAATACACCACCCTTTCCTTCGGAACGGGAGTATAATAGATTTATAATTGTGAATAAAAAGACGTCGACATTGACATGTGGATCCCACGATACCAACTGACAGCTTCAATGTGGGATATCTTATCAAATATTGCTGCAAGCAAAAACTTATGACATTTATTAAAGAATAAAACAGATTTTATATTTTTAAATATTATAAGTTTCTAAGAATTAAACATACTTTATTTTACCCAAAGTGAGAACAATGACGATTGTGTTCTGGTAAAATACTCGACCTGTTACTGCATTCCACCACGGTACAAACAGGCTCACTTACTGCATTCCACCACGGTACAAACAGGCTCACTTACTGCATTCCACCACGGTACAAACAGGCTCACTTACTGCATTCCACCACGGTACAAACAGACTCACTTACTGCATTCCACCACGGTACAAACAGGCTCACTTACTGCATTCCACCACGGTACAAACAGGCTCACTTACTGCATTGTCATGGAAGAGTGGCATCGTGCTCATTCCGAATTTACACGTGATGAGTAAGCTGATTTCAACCTATAAAATATATTTTTATAATTTAATGTTGGTTGTTACGCGTTTTTGATTGGATAAAAAAATATTTTATATCGTATAACCTGTATTGCCCACGTCAAAAACTTATCAATCCTTCTGACGTTACGTTTAAAACATAATCAATTTGAAAGCATATTCTGAAAGAGAGATTAACTTAATTTCAAAACTTCTAATGAAAAATTAAATAATAAGGAATAAATCTAATAGCTACCCAATTTATACTGGTATAACCTAGGTTGGAACAATTTACACTTTTTTTTAATAAACCGCTTCGTGGTTCATAAAGCGTAAACTGTCCCATCCAAGGTTATACGTATAACTTGGGTAGCTATTCCTTAATTAATCATGAAAATGGATGCAATTTCTGAAACGTAATAAGTTTAAGTTTTATCATATTTTAACGCAACCAAAGAAACCGACATCCCCATATCAAATTATTTCACTTAGTTTCATAGATAATGACTGTTAACACTGAAAGTCTCTGACCGACCTTCACCCTGCTTCATAAATACACGTGTAGCTGATGTATTGTTAGTGCTGGTCCTCATGATCTAGTATCAAAGCATTGCACCAATTGTCTTTTGGTTTTGACACCTTTTTCCGATAGATACAAATTTAAATTGAAATTTTTCAGTCTTTCATTTGAAAATTGTGCTATATTTGCATAAAATATTTTTTAATAATTTAATTCTGGTTGTGATCTAGACTCTGATTGGTTAATATCCAAAAAGAAACCCAGATTAAATCTGTAAAACCTCGTTTGGACACGCACTCCTGACAACCAGCTGAATCATCTGTATCCATACAATCCTCTGATTCCCAGTCCTTGGGGTTCATGGCATGTTCCAAATTTAATAACTATACCTTTAACTTCGATGTTACCACATGTACACAACAAGATGACAGCTAGGCCTATGTATCAGTTTCTAGATCCTCTTACTTCCGTTGCTACGGTAGTATTATTTAGCGGCATAATTTGAACTAATAAAAAAGAATTGAAATTCTTCACCCACAGTTGTTTAATGTTTGTTTGTTTGTTGTTTAACGTACCTTTCGAGAATTTTTCACTCATTTGGAGACGCCACCATTTGCCGGTAGAGGGCTGCAAATTTTGACCTATACTCGGCCCTCAGGGCCATTGAGCAGTAAGAGATCTTTTTCGTGCCAGCACCTACTGCGACAGGGGATCTCTGTTTATATGGTCTTATCTGAAAGACCGTTCTCCACGTCTAGCAGTGGGCAGTTGTTATAAAATATTCTTAAAACGTGAAGAGAAGGTAATAGATTCATTTCAATCATTTATTTAGATGTGTCTGCCACAGTTAGTGCAAACTGGTCCTCCGGGCTGTAAAAATGTTAAAAATATTTCTACATCACCTATACCAACTGTTTAAGTCACAGAGAGAGAGGCTCCCAGGACAAAATATTATTTTATACATTTTATATTGGACCTCTTATTAATGTTTTTCAGTATACCTATCCGTTACTTCCATGTGGCAGAATAATCAAAGAAGAACAGGATATTACTTTTTCTCAATTTATTTAAAATGCATAATAATGATATGAAATTCAAACAGTTTTGTCCAACAGCGCCCACAGAAAGATATCCATTCATTAGGATGTTTCCTATTTCAATCAGAAACCTTTATTAAAACTAGGAATTAGCCGCCCGCGTGGCGCAGTGGTAGAGCGTTCGCTCTAGAATTGCGGAGTAAGGAGTTGATCCTTACATCGCGGGTTCGAATCCAACTGTGGGACGTGAAAATTGGTCCTTCGGATGAGACAGTATAAACCGAGGTCCCGTGTCGCAGTAGGTGCTGGCACAAAAAGATCTCTCAATGCTCAATGGCCCTGAGTGCCTAGTATAGGACAAAATTTGCAGCCCTCAACCGGGAAGTGGTGGCGTCTCCATATGAGTGAAAAATTCTTTAGAGGGACGTTAAACAACAAACTAACAAACAAACAAATATGTAAATTGGGAATGAGCACAATGTCACTTTTTCATTAACACAAGAAAAAAAAGGAATTATTAGGACACAAATATTAATAACAAGATGTGTTTGTGAAACATTGATGCCCCCGTATGGCAGCTTATGGCGAAGGTTAAAGTTTCCTAAATGCAAGTCAAACTCCAGGTCAAGAAATCAAAAATGTTGGTACCCAACAAAAGGTCTTGTCTCGAGGAATATACCTGTGAAATATAAAAGCCCTAATAAAAACCGTAGAAATGTTATGGCGCAGGTTAATGTTTTTTTGAAGTAAGAAAAACGGGTCATATGATGCCCAAGGGAAGTTCTTG